TGAAATCTTATTTCATTCCAAAGCTTTTCAAACCTGCAAGACTTGCATTCTTTCATGAAACACAAAAGCAGATATTTAGCAGGTAATGTTCACACTGCACTTTTTTTTACGTACAATAAAATACAGCCAGCAGAGTCTGTAAAAAAGACAAAAAACACAATAAATTTTATAGAAGTAGTTTTGCACATTGGCCTGGGTGCTTTTGTCCCATACAATAAAAGTGACTGCAGGCAAACTCAGAAAAACGACTAAAAGGCACTATAAAAGAGGTCCATATGTCTTGTGCATACTATTTTAAATCCATATGAAATAATATGATTGTAAATAGACCAAAATTTAAGTTGTTATTCACTGTCATTTGCACTTCAGCGTATTAGTGTCATTTTAGTTTATTTATATACAATATAGTTTTTATTAATATTTTAAATTAGGTTTTATTTTTAGTTTCAGTTTTCATTTTGATTAGCTTAATTTTTAGTCATTTTGTTATGTGCTTTCGTCACTTTTATCAGTATTTTTCATTTATTCACAATTTTAGTGCTTTACTGTTGCCAAGGCAACATTTCTTATTGTTCAGTTTTTCATCTAATTATTTATATTTTAATTTATTTAAACTTTATTTCAATTAACAAAAATGTTTTGAATACTTCGTTAACAATAATAACCCTGGTGCGTGTTCATACTTGTCATGATGCCATATGGCATGGTTTCTTATGTGTTTCGAAACCAATGATGCATGAATATGGAGTCCTAAAAAAGAGCGGTGGTAACATTCTTCAAAATATCTCCTTTTGTGTTCTTCAGAAGAAAGTAAGTCAAACGGGTTTAGAATGGCATGAGGGTGAGTAAATTATGACAGAATTAAAACTAAAAAAGAATTAAGTGAGCTTCCTATTTTTCGTCATTTGAGCTTCTTAGACTATATACACTCCATTGAACTCTCATTTCTCACAAAACACTTTCTTTTTTTTTTTAAATAGCTGGGCCTTGTTCCATTGGCCGTTTCAACGAACTGCGGGCCGAGGTATTGTTACAAATTACTCTTGGCAAAACGGCCTATCATTTGTGACAATAAGAGGTCATTTTTCATGTCTGACCTTCTGTTTGGGCTGCATTTCTGATCCTGTGTAATTATGTCTTTGTGCTTCAGAATGTGGAAATTTAATCGCTTCTACAAAGAGGCCCGGTAAACGGCAGCGGCGGAAAAAGAGTTTTAGAGGAACTACGCGACCATTTTAACAGGACAACATGTTTGAATTAGATGTTCTAGCACTGGCTCTAAATGGATTTCTGAAGTGGTTGTTTGTGAGGATTTTCAATCGGACGTAACCTTGAGTCTTTTTTTATGGGAGGTCCGTCGGATTTAAGTGCTGGTATAGCATGAAGAGCCTGAATACATGCGTTTCTCTCCCTCCATCTATCTCGTTCCCCCTCTCCCTGCCTCTATTTCTCTTCTCTCTTCTCTCTCTCTCTCTCTGTCTGTCTGCCTCTTTTTCTTTCTGAAATTGAAAAATCTGCCTCTGAAGTTGTTGCCATTGTCTGGGTAATTAATGGAATGCTGAGAGCGAGGTCCAGGTGCTTAAAGAGTTTTTTTTTTTTAAAGAGTCTTTCTTTCTCCTCATGACTAATAAGGATAGAAAATACACATTAGTGCTTTTGTGGTCCTTCTTTTTTATATATAAACTTATGTATAATACATGCATTTAAATGAAAGGACGGTGACCTTCGCTGTGTTCCGTTTCAAACCCACCACATTTGTTTTGCATGTTGAGGTGAGGTTTAGCATAACAATCCAACTGCTCCTATTTAATATGCATCTATTAAGTCATCCATTTCAGTAGTTGGGAAGTTTAGGTCAAGGGCTCCGAGCAGTATTTTAAGCAGAGCTAAAAGTTTCTTACAACAAATAACCGTGGCCTGATGTGCGCTGATTATTTATAGACGTTTACTGTTTGTGTAGACTACGCAGGGCTGATTTTATTGAATAATATATACATGAAGTTGTTAGTTGGGCTACATAATTAATGATAAGTTAATGAATATTATAATTATGGTTTTTAGGCGACACAATTAAAAGGATAATACACCCAAAAATGAAAAATTCTGTCATCATTTACTCACCCTCATGTCGTTCCAAACCTGTCTCTACAATGAAAGTCATTGGGGTCCAATGATGTTTTTTTTTTGTGGTTCTCATTGACTTTCATTGTATGAAGAAAAACAGTTTAAACATTCTTCAAAATATCGTATTTTGTGCTCACAGAAGAAACTAAGACATACAGGTTTGGAACGACATGAGGGTTTTTTTGAGTGAACTGTCTCTTCTGAAAAAGATGGGCGTTTAATTGTATTCAATGTGCACTTGTAGTGTACTTTAAATCTTAAAAGTTTTTTTTTTTTTTTTTAAACGTACTTGAAGATAATATAATGAATAAAAGGCCATTTAAGTGCACTTAAAGAGAGCACACTTTCATGACTGTTTTTTGCACACTTAAGTACACTTTTAAAAAGTGCAATTTGTAACAATGTCAAATGAAAAGTTGTAGTTTAAAGTACATTTTAAATCATTATGCTTTAATAACCTTTTATCATGTTTTAACAAAGTGCGCTTATTTTGATGTGTTGACTAACATACTAAAGCACATGTAAAGTACTCGTGTTTTATTTGATATGACATTTAAAGGTTATATATTTTAAATATGCTAAATTGCAACTTTGTTACAAATGTGTAGTTGCAAATCTATTTAAATACACAACATAAAAGTTTCAATAGAAATGACAAAATTATATTTTTGTTAAATGCTTGTCAATTCACTCAACACTTTAACAGTATAGAAGTAATTATGAAATTACATATAAAGATGTATTGAACTCCTACTTAGGTGAGAGAAAATTACTCTTAGTTAAAAGTTTAAATTTGAACTATAATGCATTTTCATGCAATTAAGTGTTCAAAAACATTACATACATGAATTTTCTTTTAAAGTTGTATTTCTGTTATAAGTGCTTCTTCAGAAAAGGTCCTTTTAAGTAATTGTGAATTCATTCCATTTGCGATTTACTTATAAACTTATACTTATATAGGTTATATTTCCTCATCGTTGTGGTGAAATAATCCAATCTCTTGTTGTTTTTGACTGACTACACTACTGATGGATTCAAGAGGTCTGAATGAATCTGTCACTGCTGCAGTCTGTTCTCACAGTCGCTCAGCAGGACGGCTCTCAAAATGAAGGGCTTCAGTAAATCCTGCAGTTGTGTTGGTTTAGGGCTCTTGCCCGAGTATATGCTTCCAATTTTAGATTTAAAACAGTTCAGATCTGTTCCTGTGAAGAATTTGATATACAGCTCAATCAATTTCGTTGAATTACAGTACAATAAAATTTGAAAATACAGTTTTGTGCTTGTGTTTAAGAATAATGAAGTTTTGGTTTACAAGTTTCTATATATCAGTGTGTAAATCATATTGTTGATATTCTATGAAATGTTTGTATAAGTTTGGGCACAGTTGTTTACAGGCCAAAGATCTGTTCTGACTTGCAAAAGAGCACTCTTAAAGGGGGCATAACACACACAGTTTCACCCACTCTCATGTTAATCTTGAGTACCTATAGAGTAGTACTGCATCCTTCATATCTCCAAAAAGTCTTTAGTTTTATCATATTTATAAAAGAAAGATTCAGCTTTACGATTCTCTCCGGAAAAAGCCGAGCTCCTGGAGGCGCGCCGTGGGCGGAGCTAAAGAGTGACGAGCACTTGGGCGCCGAATGCCAACAAAACAGACATTTGATGCCGTTTCACTTACCGTCTGCAGTTCTGAATCATGACCGGGATCTTTTATAGCTCGACCGCTCCATCCTTCAGTATCAAACGATGTGCAAATCCAGCATCGAACTGG